TTTTAATAAAAAAGAGTATTCTCAAAAGCTAGAAGTCCTGCGAAATCCTGAAATGAATTTTTATAGTTATACGAGTAAGTTATTATATAGCACAAATTCATTTGAATTTTTTAAAAAAGTTAAATTGTACAAAAGTAGGTAATAAACGGCCTTTTCATGCTGATCATTCTGTCCTCTTCCAACTCATGCGTCATTGTATGCGCTAGACAAGGACAGAACGATCAGCATGAAAAGGTCTGTAGTATTTTTACAAAAAAAATTTTTTCGCAAATAAAAATTTTTTTTTGTTTTTTCAACTTTCTGGACACATTTTGATGCCATAAAAAAGCAAAACAAGATATTTTCTTCCTTATTAAGAAACAAATAATAAAATGCTAAGTTATTTTCTCTTAAATACAAACGATCCAGCAACGAAAAAATTTTGGGTTAATAGTTTTCTACTTCTTTACATATATGCTAACTATATTTTAGACTTTCTATGTTTAATAATGTAAAATAAGAATAACAAATTAATTTTCTAGTTTAAACTTTAAACGCAAAAAAGTTATTATTAATAAAAATAAATTAAAATAATAATACCTGATTTAAAATAATATAGAATATTTTCCAAACTTTTTATAGAATTATTACAAATTAATTTATTATTATTAATTATTTAAATTAATTATTACAAATTATTATGAAAATATTGTTACTCTAGAAGAAAAATCTTTTTTGTAATACAATTTTTTTTTACAATATAACCAAAAATTCTAATTTTCCAAATTTGTATAGTATTTTTTCATTTATCTTTCCTTGATAAATTCAATAAAAAAAATAACATTTTAAAATTGGGATGAAAAGTGCAAATTAGAAGCAATTATTACTGTTAAAAATTAACGAAAAATATACCTTCTGATTTAAATATTGAATTTCTAAAAAAAAATAAATCATAAATGGAGGGGATGGATGCTATAAAGGGATACGTACCACATTAAGTAAATGGCGCTTACCCCCTTACAGCATCCAGCTTCATAATTCATTAAAAAAATTAATTTATTATTCTTTTCATTATTTATCTTATTATTTCTTCTTATTAATATCTTTATTATTTTTATAAAAATTGATTAATTTATTTATTTAGTATAAGAGATATTATATTATTTGTTATATATATAATCAATGTGGCCGCAAGTCTGGGAAAAACTGTAAATCAGGGAAAAGTCAGAGAATTTTGTAAAAATTATTAAAAAAGTGAGGGAATTTTTACCTAAAAAACCACAAATTAAATATGTATTAGGATTTTACTTTTTTAAATAATCGCGGGAAACTAACCAAATCGTTTCTGTACTAAAATTTGAGTCACAACTATTTTATTTTTTTTATTAATGTAAATATAATTATAACCACAGCTTTAAAAAAAAATTACCAACATTTTCCCAGTCAACAAAATTCCAAGCTAATACCGGATTTTCCTGGTCTGTGGCCACCCGACATGCGATTATAGAAGATACAATAACCCTCTTCGTTGCAAACCAGACGAGGCTTTACGAGACGAAAAAATTCAGTTATCTCGGTTCAAGAGTATGATATTCAAAATCATATCGTTAATTCCAAAAATTTACTTACAAATTTTTTTTTATATAGGGTAAGTGTACCAATTACGGCGCGTTCATAAAAAATAACTATTATTACTGTTATATATTTAATATAACTGTTGCAAAATGATTTAAAAAAATTATTTTAATCTTTTTTAATACAATTAGTTATAAAGATGCACATTTAAACAATTATTAATTAAATTATTTGAGATCAAATTTTTTCCCTCGCCGTAATTGAAACATTTTTAAGATTTCCATTGGCTTCGATTACGGTGGGAAAAGTATCTTCAAAATACACGTAATTTTGGTCACAGAAACTGATACAAACGCGCCGTAATAGAAAATTACGTGTAATACTTGCTGTACAAATTTATGATCTCAATAAACTATTTGAATAAAAAAAAAAAGAAAATTACGGAATTAGTTTGTTAATAAGTCTTCAATTGACTTTATACAATAGAAATGTCGAATTTTCTATTTCAAATGTATTTTGACTCGAATCGCGCCGTAATTAGTACATTTACCCTATTATTCAATAAAAAGTGATAAAAAAGAAATAAGAAACGTATTAATCTATTATTAAATTTTCCTAATAGGGTAAATGTATTAATTACGGCGCGATTCGAGTCAAAATAACTTTGAAATAGAAAATTCGATATTTCTATTGTATAAACTCAATTTAAGACTTATTAAACTAAAAGCTTATGTTATTTAGATATTAAAAAAAATTCACTTTATAAAAATTGATTATTTAAACAAATATGAGAAATGAAAACTAATACCGTAATTTTCTATTACGGCGTGTTTGTATCAGTTTCGGTGACCAAAATTACGTGTATTTTGAAGATACTTTGCCCGCCGTAATTGAAGCCAATGGAAATTTTAAAAATGTTTCAATTACGGCGAGGGAAAAAATTTGATCTCAATTAATTAAATTAATAATTGTTTAAATGTGCATCTTTATAAGTAATAATTGTTTCAAAAAAAGATTAAAATAATTTTTTTTAATCATTTTGGAACAGTTATATTAAATATAATAGTAATAATAGTTATTTTTTATGAACGCGTCGTAATTGATGCACTCGCCGTAATTGTTACACTTACCCTATAATAATAAATAGGTTATCATTATGATGTTAATAATTATAATATAAATAATTGTTCTAAAAGATAAAAAAAAAAAATTTCAGTACAACAAAAGTCATCTGCAACAATAACAAATATATAAAACAAATGCTGGTAAAAGTTAGAAGAAACCCATATTTGATTTACCCTCGAATAAGTCTCACAAAAACCACAAATTATTTTAGGTCTTATGCATTATGTGTGTTTATTGTTGTTTGTACTTTGAAAAGATACAGGTTATTGAAGGAAAGTTTTCTAATTAGAGGAATAACCCATGAATTCCCTGTCTAGTTAGAAAGATTTTCTTTATGATATTACTTGAAATGTTAAGGATTTAAGGTTTATGAAAATTTTGAACAGATATTCGTAAAAATGGTTTTAAAATGTAATATACCTAAAATCACGTCATTAGAAAGCCACGAATATCAAATTTAATTATTCTAAAATTATATTAGAGAATATTAAAAATTATACCAACAATATTAATTTTATTCTTAAATCAATCTTTTGATTGATATAATTTTTATTTTTATAATAATTTATATAAGATAGCAAAATTTTCAATCCTTAAAAGTTTTAGAATTGAAATTGACATCTCTAAGTTAAGGAAATTTTACTAACGCCTATTCTTAGTGTTATAATGTATAATCTTCTTGCATCCTCGTATATCTATGCCCGTCACCTTTCAAATAGTTTCCGCAAGTTGAATTCATTGTCTTATGTGATTTACCTGCCATCACTTTTATTTGCCTTTTCATATTAAATACTTATACCATTTCCTGTTGTAAGTCAAACAGGTACAAACTTGAATTTCTTTGACAACTTATAAATTTTCCTTCTTAATTTTCGTGTGCATTCTCCATTTTTGAAAATCGAATAATTTTAGATTTAAATTAATGTTGTTTTTTTCTCTCCAAATCTAAAATAGTTGATATTTTATTTACCCAACTTTTTTTATTAAAAGAATCTTAATTTAAAAGATTTCTCATTCAACAGAATTTTAAAAAAAGTTAAAAGAAAATTAGATAGAAAATTGTAATTGATTTATTTAAAAATTTTGTGCCAAAATCATTTTGTCTGTTATTTGTTCAAACATTTGTAATTTCGGTCAAATGAAAAATCGAATTCTATATTCGTGCAAAAAAAAATTCAAATCACTTAAATTCTGTTTAATTAAATTAATTGAACGAAGCTGAAGTAGGCAACGTTTATGATAAACGATTTTTAAAGAAAGAATTTTTTAAAATGAAAAATTCTATAATTTTTTGCCTAAAAAATATTTTTTTATAATTTTTTAATTAATAAAAACTACAAGAAATATTTTTTAGGCAAAAAATTATAGAATTTTTCATTTTTAAAAATTCTTTCTTTAAAAATCGTTTATCATAAACGTTGCGTACTCCAGCTTCGTATAATTGAAACAGCATAAGTCCACTTTTTCAAAAATCTCTTTTTAAGATTGAAATGAAGCTACATAATCTGCTAAAAATATTACATAGATAGAAAACTTCTAAACATTTAAAAAAATGAATTACATAATACTATTTAACAAAATGTTAAAACTTCATTAAATTTCTAATTTAAAAAAAAAATTATTTATGTAAATTGTTAATTAAAAATTATCTAAATTGAGTATTTTTAATGAATACCCTTGTTTTGTATATCATACTTCGTTTGATGCAGAAACAGCATAATTCCAAAAGTTTTTTTAATATTTGAATACTATATTAATAATAAAATTAATCAATCATTAGTTACATATTTTTTAAACTTATAGATTAATAGAAAGTAAAAAAAAAGAATTCAAAAAAATTCTTATATTTACTAGAAAAACAGCTATTATTGATTCCTGAACAATTTTGATTTGTGGACTTATGCTGTTTCTGCACCCTAGATTTTTTAAATAAAAAGGTTATGAACAGAAAAATTTTGTTGAGTAAAAATTCATTATATTTAAAAAAGAAATTATGTCAAATTTAAATAAAAAAATTCTGACTAATAAATTTTAGGGAATATTCATTTATACGCCCCTCGTAGTAAATAATGAATTTTTTTAATTTCATTTTTTTAAGCATTTAACCGTTTTTTTTTTTGGTTTTTCCAGCGGAAATTTAATTTTTCTGAGTAGATACGGTAAATATTGTAGTACTGTACACAATGAAAGAAAAAAAGGATTCTGTTTATTCAGTCCCTCCAATGTAATCAACACTCATTATGTATTATCTATCTCTTTCGCTCCCCCTTCCTCTCTCTGGAGCCCGTCAGGCTGTCACATAGACGCTCAGCCTTCAGGACTTCAACTTCAGTCTTACTTATACCAGTCTGAGCTCAACAAGTCAATGAGCGCGGGTCCGTAAAATATCACGTATAGTGACTGTATTTTCAAAATTACTCTTAAACAATCTCAATATGGTGATTTGTTGTTAAAGTGAACTACCCCTTTTTGTTATTTGTGTTTTAACATACCAAGTGCCGTTCACTGACATCTACCAATTTATTTATCGGATACTAAATTTTTAATCGGTAAGTGTAAAAGAGAGTGTTTTCATCTATTATACAATTCGTATACTTTCATATCCGTCTAGAATAATAAAGGCCATAGTATACTAATACATATGTGTATGTTTACATATTATTTTATTTTTTAATATAACTTTATTTCAATAAAAATTAATTCCGTTTGATAAATATTTTTTTAAATTTTGTATAGTTTTTTAAAAAAAATTTTAAATTGTATAGTTCTATAAATAAAAAAAATATATTATAATAAATTTTTATTAATTTTGTAACTGAATAATTACATAAATAATTATTATAAATTAATAATTAATCAAATAAACATACTAATTACTTATTCTTGCATTATCCTCTTAATTGTTTCCTGGAATAAAAAAATGCATATTTTTTTCTTTTTCCACTATTTTTTACACTATAATTACATATATGTTTATCTCTACTCCTCTTTCTAGTAAATTAATATTTAAACCAGATAAAAATAGAACCGTGGTACATATTTATTTCATTGTATGTATTCTGGCGCGTGAATGTATTTATTTGATGTTTTTCTTAAAAAGATTTGCCATTGAGTGTGACTTGGTATTCAACGTGTGTTTGAAACCGAGAAGCATGACGTCATTGATTGGTGATTGTAATTCTGGAGAAGAGTTTTTATAGTTGTCGTTTTTAACAGACGAGTTAAAAAACCTGATTTAAATGCAATTACGTCTGCTTATTTTATTTTGGAACATTCTTAATATTTTTGTTCATTTATTATTATTTAAAAAAAAAATATATTTGTTCATGCGATTTGTATATAATATAGTCTTGATTGTAATCATTTTTAATGGGATAAACTGGTTTGTCATGTTTAACGAAAAATAAATTGTACAAAACTAACGCGCGTAATCAAACGGATGTTACTGATAATAAAAGAAAAAAAGTTTTGCGCCTTTGTCGAGAGATGATGATAATAATAAATTTATCATCATGAAATCGGGGAAAAGAATTGGAGTTTCAGGGAATTTTTGCATTCTGCCGATATTTAATCCTTTCAGATCCAAAGTCCATTCAGTAATAACTAATAATATAATATAATAAATTTTCTTACTAAATTTTGAGAATGAAAAAAATTTTTATTATTAAACTTTGAAGGAAAAAAAAGTAGATCATTGATCTGAACATCGATTGGAAATAGGATTATGTAAATTATTTTATTTATTCTAATTGACGAGAGGTTCTTGTCCTTTGACCTGGTTAGAAAGTCCTGACGTACGTATCAAGCATTAATATTCAGTAATAAAATGTTTACAATATGCTTAAAGTTTTTTTTTTCCTTTTTTGCGTAAAAATAAAGTGTATTTCAAAAATAATTGTATTCATTCTTTGCCCTAAAATTTTTTTCAAATTTTATACCAAAATATTCTAAAGTTCATGTAAACATTTTTAAGATTTAATTGTTTCATTTCCATTATTATATTGCTTTTTATAAATACGAAATACATTAAGAATAATTATTTATAATCATTTCTAAGAAATTGAATGGATTATTATCATTTTGAACGTGAAATTAATTCGTTAAAATTGTTTTTTTTTAATTTATTGTGTTTTCTCATAAAACTATATTTTTAAAAAAATTTTATTTATATTTTTTTATATTCTTGTAAATAATTTTTTATTTATAAATTAACAAGAACTGTCAGTATTTTTTTTTTTTTTTTTTTGCTAATTTACCTTCTTATAAGTAAATGAAAATTTATTATTATTGTCAGTTCCGCTAATCATAATTATTTTTTCTTAGACTGGTTTATAAATTATAGAGAGGATTTTGCAATTTGCGGTATTAGAAGAATATTTTATACTGAAATTCATTACAAAATTTTTATTGAACGCAGATTTCTCTAGACCTTTGATATCTAATTCTTAGATAAAATATAATAATTATTATTTAATTGCGAAATAATGTTTAAATATTGCAAGAAAATAAAGTACAGTCAAAATAAAATTTTAAATTTATTTAGAATTCTAATCCTTCGTGTAGAAGAGAAATTATTTAAAATGAATAAAATATTTCTCGCAAATTCTTTCTTTTTTTTGGAGTCTTAAAATTTATTTATTTATTTATTTTCATGCAAACTATCATAAATTTCTCAATTTTTCCAGAAAATTCTCAAATTGCCTTTTAATTTTTCGTTTTTTTCAACAATGTATTTCTTTAAATTTACTGAACGTTTTCTTTTATTTCTTTCTAACTCCGAATCCATTTTAATTTTCTAAACTTCTTATATTTTTTTATTCTATTACAAATTATTTCTTCAAATTCTTCCTTTTTTAAATTCCTAAATTTTTTTTATTAACATACAAAGGGGATAAAAAAACCCCAAAATTTGGTCCACCTAAAATAGCTAACAACCTGATTAAATAAATTATATTATTATTTAATACTAAATAAAAATGTGCAATTATGCATATTAAATTACATTTAATAATTTTTTTTGTTGCAGATGAATTTCTACTCTTGAGGTTTTATTGACAAAAAACAGTCATAACAATGCAACAATTTTGGAGGATTATTGAGTTACTACTCATCTTAAAAGTATCAATTATTTATAGTAATAATTGTCAATTAACAGAATATAATAGTATATGTCAATGTTCTCGTACCATATCAGGACGATATGATATGGATTGTCCTATTAATTCGACAAGAAGTGAAATAGATATCAGAATCGAATATTTTTCTGAGCAAATTGTCACGATATATTGTCAGAATAATGACAATTTATTATACTTTGATCACAATATAAGTTCCATTGTGAAAAATGTGAAGATATTAGCTCTACATAATTGTTATTTCGAGGAAATTAAAATAAAAAATATCGCTTCATTAGTGGGAGCCGAAAATCTCGAGACACTGCAAATTCTCAACTATAAAACTATAAGAACAACTTTTGTTACATTGCACAAAAATCAGTTTCAAGATTTGACAAATTTGAAAACACTAGAAATATCTGATACTCGTTGTAATAATTTAGATGAAGATTTATTGGAATTTATACCAAATATTACAACATTAATTTTGAGAAATGATCAAATTAAATCAATTCCAACAAATTTCTTTCAATTTACTCCTAAATTGAAAAATATTGAATTGGGAATTAATAAACTTAAAGTGTTCGAAGATGGGACATTTAGTAATTTGAAGGATTTATTATTTCTCAGTCTCTGGCGAAATGAATTAACAAATTTGAGTAGTGATGTTTTTGCTGATTTGAATTCTGTAGAAACAATTAGTCTTTTTTCAAATCCATTAACAACATTACCTGTCGACATTTTTCACAAGAATGTCAATTTAAAAATAATCAATCTTTCGCGAAATTCATTCAAAAATTTACCGGCAGAGTTATTTCAAAAAAATCATCATCTCAAGAAATTGAAGCTAGAGAATGAACTACACCTTAAAACTTTACCAAATGGATTTTTGAGCAATTTGACAAATTTACTGGAGGTAAAATTAGATTCATCGAATTTAAAAAGTCTTCCGGAAAATCTTTTTGAGGGATCGATCAATTTGGTGAACATTAGTTTGCAGAAAAATCATTTTGTCTCATTGCCTGCTAAAATATTTTATGGATTGAACAAATTGGAACGTCTCGAACTCAATGATAATAAAATTGAAAATTTAGATGATAAACTTTTTGATTCTTGTATCAATTTGAAAAACTTGAATATTAATAACAATAATATCGTCACAATATCAGAGTAAGTAATTTATTTTTTATTACTGATATGTATTAAAAATAATTTTAATTAAGAATTTCTTAAAATTTTGGAAATGTACAATTTATTTTAATTTTATTGTTTTTGAAGAAAAATTTAATCTCTATTTTTTTACAGGTTCACATTTTCCAAACTTGCGAATTTAGAAACCTTATTTATGAGACGGAACAAAATAATGAGTATTGATAGACAAGCATTCTACTCTTTACATCATTTAAAGAAAACGTCTTTTGCTTTTAATAATCTAACAACAGTATCAGTAACAAAATTGGGCTGCGAATCTGTATTTAACAGATGTAATGAACTAGAAGTATTGGATTTATCGTACAATAAAATACAATTGTTGTGTGACGACTGGACCAGATTTCCTGGACATCATTTCAACTTTCTCAATCTCTCTCATAACGATATAAGTTCCTTGACGGTAAGTTTCAATTTTTACTTTCAACAAAATTGTATTAAAAAAAAGAAATGACTTGAACAGATCTAATAATTTCATCTCAATTTTTGCAGGTGGATGATTTAGATATTAAAAATCAAAAAGATTTTACCGTAGACTTATCTTATAACAAGATAACGACTGTCGATCTGAATGATCCATTTAATGAGAACTTTGAAAAACGTTTCAATGAGGAATATCGAAGCACAGTTGTGTTATTACTGAATAATAATCCAATTAAGTGTGACTGTGCTTTGTACGACTTTTTACGATATTTGGATGGTTCAATGATGAATGTGCGAGATACATTAAAAATAAACACTGGACCAATGAAGTGTTCCGATTCGAAAAAATACGAGGATATTTTATTGTCGGAATTGAATTCCAAGAGTTTCGAGTGCATTCCGCCGATGGAGGAAATTAACGATTTTGAAATGTGTCCTCAAGAATGTGATCAGTGGACGAGACCGTCAGACAAAACATTTATTTTCAATTGTTCTTACAGAAATCTCAATCAAGCTCCAGAAAGTTTGTGCTCATTGAAAAGCAAGGGATATGTCAAAGAACTTGACCTCACTGGGAATAATATAACAATTATTCCAAACCTTCAACAAACTGGTTACAATAATTTATCGAGGCTCACATTGTCACATAATCAAATTTCAACCATTTCCACAAATTTACTTCTTAACGTTACACTTCAGGTAAGTTTTTTTAAAAATTTAGTTCAATCAAATTAGAATTTTTAAACGTTCTAACTTTCAACGGCAATTTTATTCGCTTAAAAGCTTCATTTTTTAGTGAAATTATTGACACCCACCCCTTTATCATTTAGAGTCAAAATGGTTATTAGGAAGAAGAAAGCCTATTACGTCAGTAAAGTTTACAACGTTTATGATCATCAATTAAAAACAAAAAATATTTTTTACGCAAAAAATTATAAAATTTTTATTTTAAAAATTTATTGATCGAGGAAAGTTGGAAAAATTTTTTCAGACAAAAAATTATAATAATTTGTATAGAAAAAAATATTTTTCTTATAAATTGTTGATCATAAACGTTGTACAATTCACCAACGTTATAATTTTATTTTTTTTACTATCAAGAGTTTTTCTTATTTTAAAAAATTTATTGAAATTCTTAAAATAGAAATGATAATAATCAAAAGAACTCAATTTTTAGATAATAGTTAGTTTATATTATAAAAAATTAAATACGGTTTCTGAAAATAATAAATTTTGTTCTTTACAGAAATTGGAACTGGACAATAATCATCTAACGGTAATCAGACCAGAGGTAATTGAAGAAATGAAATTATCCGTGAAAAAGATGAAACTTGGGAATAATCCATGGCAATGTGATTGCGGAGCACAAAGTTTGCAAATTTTCGTGAATACAAAAAATAACACTGTCGAAGATGAAGAGAATGTTATTTGCAAGAATTTCAACAGAATGCTGACAAGAATTAAAATTGACGAGTTATGTCCATCGAATCTTGAATTAATTGTCACTGCAAGTGTATTTGCTGCAATTTTTGGATTGACTTTTGGTCTGATCGCTTCATTTTACTATCGTTATCAGCAGGAGATCAAAATCTGGCTTTACGCGAAGAATCTTTGTCTATGGTTCGTCACCGAGGAGGTATTGGACAAAAACAAACCATACGATGCATTCATCAGTTATTCCCACAAGGACGAAGAATTTGTCATCAATGAACTTATGGCGAATCTGGAGAAAGGACCGAGATCCTTTAAGCTCTGCGTTCACTTCAGGGATTGGCTTGCAGGCGAATGGATTCCATTTCAAATCGCAAGGTCCATCAGGGACTCGAGGAGGACAATTGTCGTGGTCTCGCCGAATTTCATTCAAAGTGAGTGGGGCAAATTGGAATTTCGCACTGCTCATAAAGAAGCTCTAACCGAGGGAAGGGCGCGAATTATCGTTATCCTGTACGGTGATATCGGACCTGTTGATAAATTGGAACCAGACCTGCAATCGTATTTGACTATGAACACTTATGTGCAGTGGGGCGATCCGTGGTTCTGGAATAAACTTCGTTATGCATTGCCCCACAAATCGGACGCAGTTTACAACCCATCGAAATACAAGAATTTCAACAAAGCACATACTATTGTACCGTTGGATTTCAATAAAACGGAGGTAAAACAATTTCCCGAAAGTGGCCTGGCACCACTGAATGAAAATGGAAAAGTCATCATTGATATGAGTGACGATGAGTGTAATAAATTAAATACCCGTTTCTAGATTTTAATAGAATTTTTAATAAATCGAAATTTCAATTTAACCGAATTCTAATAAACAAAAATTTCTATTTCACTAAATTTTGTCTTTAAACTTTTGATTTAATAAAATTTATATTTCATCAAATTTTACATAATGTAAAATTTCGATACATTTCAATTTAATTATAATTTTAGAAGCATTTTGAAATTTGATAGAAAAGTCGAACATTCGAAAATTCAAACGAATAAAAACTCACAATCCGAGAAATGAAAAATATGTAAATTCATTGTAATATGTAATAGAAATTCGGTTAAATATGAATTTTGGTTTCTTAAAAATACGGTCAAACAAATCGTTTACTTCGTTGAAAATTTGATTATATTAAAAATAGTTTGTTTTACGAATTAGTGTAAATAGAAAATTTGGCGAAATAGAAATTATTAATAATAAGTAAATAGTAATTCGAAACTATAGAAATTTGTAATATTTTGTTTAAAGTATATTTTTATGTCTGATAGTTTGTTTCGTTTCTCTATTATATTATATGGCTGTTTCAGAAAGAAGACTAGATAGATTAATTCAGTAAAATCACATTAATAAAAACCGCAATAATTCGACTTGTACCTTAAATTGTAAATTATCTTTTGAAGCTTGATTTATTAAGATTTTACTGTAATTACAAAAATGACGTGGTAATTGTAAATACGGATAAAATTTAAGGACCGCGTTCAAGAAAGTCCAATGAATGATAAATGTGTGGAAATATTATTTAAAATTTTTTGTTTTTAATTTGAAAACTATTTCAAATTTAAAAATGCGATTCTAAAATGTGTCGTGCTAATTAAATCAGTAATGTACATATGTAATTGTTATGATACTTTTTATATTTTTAAAATACTCGACTTTACTATGACACATGTGCCATATATCAAAATAAGACTGATATAAATGTGTGTATATTATAATTATAATTTTACAGCTTCACATAAAACATGTGACATATACATATATGTATATATTCCATTAAAAATTCGTACATAGTCAGAAAAGCTATCGTTTCATCTTTTCTTTTAAATTTTGTAAATTTATTGAATGAATTTAGGATTTTTAAAGTTATAAGAGACAATAATTATGTAAATAGTCTTAGGTATATGTTATTATTAATTCATTTTCATTCATCAAATTTGAAACATCTGTAAATACAATTTGTCAGTGAGAAAAAGTATAGTGTGTGTAAGAGATCAAGAACGTATAATAAACAAAATACAAACAGAAATGTTGATCTTTTTATAAAACTACATATTTGTATATAGAAAACAATGTTAAAAAAAATATACGAGAGTGTTACTATGTTTTCACAATGAATTCAAAAAAAAATCTTATTTATTTTAATAGTAAATATTTTCTAAATAAGGTTTGTTTTAGATATAATTACTAAAATATACATTTATTTTTACTCGTTTAACACAAATTAAATAATTTAATTTCAAAAGTCGTTGACAATAAATAGTTAATTTTTTTTAACTTACAATAGAAAAAGCATGCGCGCGCATCGTTTTGGCATAAAAATCGTCTTCAAAACGATACGATTTTGCCTACTGTGGAACCAACCTGATGGATATTTTCATTTTAATAACTTTTTTCTAGAAAAGTAAATGTGCATTTAGACCTCTGCAGTCTGTCTATAGGTTGAGGTTGCCATAGTAACGAACAAGAATATGAGATTCAAAAAATACCATGGCAACGCACGAGTGTGAGTGAGACAAAAAATTTGAATATTCAAATTTTCTGTCGCACTCACTCTCATGCGTTGCCATGGTAACCTTCATGCAGTCAAAAAGGTGTAAGAGCGCTTTTACTCTCTTATTCTAAAGGTGGATACAGAATATGTAGACACAAAAGACAAGTGCAAATCCAAGAAAACTATGAGTGCAAAAGAGATAGCTAGACTACTATTCTGTATTCACCTTAACTGCTGCCTGTACAAGTCGAGTTGTAACCGTACCATAACATTTGTTTTGTCGCTTGACGTTGGTAGCACTGTTCGTTATTATTGAAGTAAGTTTTAGACTAATAGACTTGTAGTAGTTGGGAAGTTTTATAATTATTTAGAACTGTTTTTGTTTTTCATACTCGTTGATAGTAAAAATGGATATTCGCGAGAAACTTTTAAAAACTGTTGATGCAAATGATCCGCAATTTAAAATACTTTTACACAATGCTATTCAAGCTGAAATTAAATATCTTGAGGAGCAACTTGCTGGTAAATATATTATTAACATATGATTTTAATAATAAAAATTGTTTTTGTTATATATTTACAAAAGAAAAATTTAAAGAGTAATCGAACACAAGCAGTTTCTAATTGTTATAATATAATTTACATTTGTTTTCCATTATTATTTTATAGCAAAGAAGTCTTTAAATGAAAGAAAAAGATTAGAACTAAGTAATCTTTTGGAACGTAGAAAGACTTTAAAAAAGAGTATTCAGGAAAAATCAGAACTTCTTCCTATAATGGAAAAAGCTAGTAAATGGTAAAAGAATAAAATTTATTGCTATTGTTTGATTTTATCTTGTGTAAAGAATATTTTGATTACTTTCATTTATTATTTTTCATTTTATTTATTATCAGTTTGCTCCTTGTTATAAATATTAGTAAAATATCTTACTTGTAGCCTTCAAGAGTATTCACATAAGTTGCTTGAAGAATTGACATTAACGCAAAGTATGGTAGACGATGATTCTTTGCGTCAATTGGCGCATATTGAGCAGGAGAAAAAATTGCTCGAAAAACTCGAGAAAAAATGTATCGAGTATGAGGTATGTTGACACAATATAATTAAATCCTTTTCTTTGAATTCATAATTTTTTATTATTACTTTTATTTTTGTTATTTTATTTAATATTAAATAATGACCAATAATTAATGAATAAATAAACGCAATATAATTTAAACTAATTCAAGTAAATTTTAAGAATTGTAAGATACGATTTATTTTGTCCATTGTGTACTTTTACAAAGTTTTACAATTTTCTTTCTCGCAAACTTAAAATTTTTTTAATGATTTTATATAATAATGATAAATAAAATTAAATATTCAACAGGCAGAATTTGAAAAAGCTCCTTTGGCTCAAGAGTTAAAAGAGGTCAATCAAGAATTACTGAAGGTTCAAGTTGAATTAGAATTTCGTAAGATGAATATTAAAAATTTGAAAGACAGTTACAAAACTTACGAAGATATCCAGAAGAAAAGAGAGCAAGAACAAGTTATTGCGATAGCGAAACTTTGGTTGAGACATCGAAACCATATTCGAGAGTGGAAAAATTTGAGAGACGAAAGAGCTAAACTCAACACCATAATGTCTCAACAGAAGAAAGAAGTAAAATTATTCTTTTCACTATTAGTATTTTCAATTATTGTTAATTACATTATTTATTACATTTCTTTTATCTTAGATTCAATGTCTAATCAAAGAGAAGGAAGACATAGACAGACAACATTTAATGGCTCGCTTTCAGATGCCACCTCCCGTTATGGACACAAAATTTGTTGAAACTATATTTTCTCAAATAATGATAACTGAACAACAAAAACCTGACAGTTTGATTGATTCACTCAGTGACAGCGGTAATAGTTTTATTTTATAAATACTTTCATATTTGTACTATAACAAAATAATTAATTTTTTTTGTAGCTTCGATTTGCTCCTTAGCTTTCGACGAAATGTGTAATGTTCCTGAAAAAACAAATGTTACAGTGACTCAAGTTGAAGAAATAGAAATTGAACCAGGTATTTTTAACAATTTTAAATAAGTTTTCAATCCATCATTTTTCTATTTTTTAGTTCCAATAATTCATTTTATTTTAATTAAAATTTAATAAATTAATCATGGTTTTTTCGATTTTTTAAATTATAACAAATTGAAATTAATGTTTTAGATGTTATTTCTTTAGCTACGAATGAAAATTCCCAATGTAGTACAGTATTGGAATCAGAAAGAAGTTTACAGAGCCCTGCAAAAATTTCCAAAAAGTCTTATGATTGTAGAATTAAATTGATAAATGAAAATATTAATTTTAAAAAAACAGAGGTGTCTAAGGAAAATGAGAAATCTCCTCGAGTTAATACAACATTAAAAAGAAATAGAAATGATGTTTTAATTCCAGAAAATATGCCGAAAAATGACAAAAATAATAAACAATTTTCTGACAATTTGGGAGCAGTAAAGAAGGCTTCTCGAGTTACTCCAACTTCAAAAAGAAATAGAAATGAGGATTTAATATCGAAAAATATGCCAAGAAATGACAAAAGTACTGAACAATTTTCTGAAAATTTGGGAACACCAAAAAAAGTAAAAGCAACTGTACACAATGAAGAAAGAAATTTCTATTCGACCAGCACAGAAATAGAAATATTGGACATTTTTCAAGAAGACAGTGTTACAAAAGAAACCGATTTACCTTTTGAAAATCATTCAGCTTTAGAAACTGACCTCAGCTTTAGTCTCGCCGACTCAAACATTCCACAGAAAAGTATTTATACATTTTTTTTTAATATTACAATTTGTAAATTTAGAAAATTAACATTTTTTAATTTATAATACATTACAAATTTAAAAGCAGTTTCAGAAAGTGTCCGAAGCTTTAGTCTCGCCGACTCAAACATTCCTCAAAAAGGTATTTATATATTTTTTTAATATTAGAAATTGTAAATTTTAAAAATTCATATTTCTTAATTTATAATAAATTAAAAATGTAATAGTTATTTAGAAATTAACAATCATCAATTTAGAATTTTAAAAAATTCAAAATTCAAAAGTTCTAACATTTTTAAAATTAAAATTTAAAAGTTAGAAAATTATGGGTTACGTTAATAAGAAATTAAGAATTATAATAACTTTTTGTAATTGAATTTTTTCTTAAATGTAATTGTTTTAAAAATAAATGATCAAAAAATATTTAATTCTTTAAAATTTAATTAATAGAATTTTTATTTATGAATTACATTTGTAATGTTAAATATTAATTTATTAAATAGTTAACTTTATTCTTTCATAATATATTTATTTTTATTTACACTTTTTTTGTAGATGGTGAAATAGAATGTAATTCTGATTTATCGCTTCAAAGTTTTGTGGATGATCAGCATAACTCGGTTGTTTTTACAACTGATGAAATGTCAAATACAGATAACGATGTGGCATTGGCCGAACAAAATTCCCCCCCTCCGGAACCTGCAGGTTTTATTTCTCGATATTTTTTGAAAATTTCTCCTAGTTTATTTTATAAATTTAATTTTTTAACAATAAAAAATTATTTTTACAGCTTCACCATCATTTGGATTTTTTGGTAATCAGAAAAAACGAGCTTTCACTTTTCAAGGATTATTTAAGTAATTTAACAAATTATAAAAAAATTCCAATCGACAGACATTTATTAGCTTTTTGTTTTCGTTTTCTTTTTTAGAATTTGTTGAAATTCTATTTTTTATTGAATTTTTTTTTATCATTTACTTATGTATTTAAAAAAATATTATAGATATGTATTAAACAATACAAATAATTAATTATATATTTATTAATTTAAACTAAAATCAATAAATATTAAAGGACATAAATACTACTAAATAAAAGTTTATTTGTTAAAATATACACGGGATTTATTTACTAATTATTGTATAATATAATAATAACTTAAAAAAATATGTAATATAATAATATATTCAATAAATATGTATTAATCGTATTAATAATGATGATTCCTAGTGTTTTTGAATTCAAACCTAAACTAAGCGCCAAAAGTTTTAATGTTAGTAGCACTGATTTTTACACTCCTAGGCCGTTTCCGAATTAGGATTTTTAGAGCATTTTTGATAAAAGTGAATACTTAGAAAGTATGCAGTATCTTTTTTTTCGCACGGAAAAATGAAGACACTGCATACTATCCGAGTATACACTTTATTAAAAATGCGCTAAAAACCTCAATTCGGAAACGACCTAAGTCAAACTATTAAGTTCTTCTAGTTGGGTGGGGAGAAATCCAACATGGCGATTAAGCAGTGCTCAAACAAATAAGAAATGTACAGGAAGAAGTCGAATTTATAATATCTCGCTTAAATGTTTTGGAACCTAAGTGTATTAGGATTTTAGTTTCTATTTTTAATTACCTATTTATCATCCTGTACATTTCTTATGCACTATTTTCAGAGCGAATAAATTGAAATTTCAAAAAATCATAAATTATACTTTGACCGCGGTCAACATCCACTGGACCAATCAAAAAGTGCGCCATACATTTATAGTTCGGAACTTTTTTCGAAACACTTTGGCGGTATTCCCGAACAATTATCTCCCAAATTTTTTTCTAAATACTTTTATGCTATTTCGGAGCAATTATCTCGAAAATTTTATTTTTCGACAATTTTTACAAAATATTTTTGAGTGTACCTCAGCAACCACTGTACCAATTAAAAAGTGTGATATACATTTTTTGTTAGAAACTTTTCCATTATTATATTAGAAGGATTCCCGAATGATTATCTCGCAAATTTAATTTTTCGAAAATTTTTCTCATCTTTATTTTAATGTAGCCCAGCAGCAGCTGGACCAAAAAAAATTCAATTTTTCTTAGGCAGACTATTTTATTGCAATTTCTTGCACAAAATACACCTAAAAGTGTAGAAAAAAATTGACCGCCAAATACGAGTAGAGGAAGACACCTATTACCACCTAAAAGTCATTTTACCAA